CTTTTAGCGCACACTCAGGGTGGCTTGATGAAGCACGTACTGGGCTGTGGTAGTGTCAAGACAATTGTTAGGTACTGCCATTGCTTCGGAAGCGCGTTGCTTGCAAAAGTATGCAGCTCGGACCCCAATTGATTCATCAATAAAAACTATAACAGAACTTGCTCTTGGGCTAGTTGGTAGATTATTTCTAAAAAAAACTAAATTTGAGTGTCAAACGCATGACACAGACACACACGCACACACTCCTGCACCAGCGCGGCGCGCGTTTGATGCCTGGGTTTGTGTGTGTGCGTGAGTGTGTCGTGTGTTTTTCACTCAAAGAAAGCTTTTAGAAGCCAATAAAACTGCTTCGCACGCAGATCTATTCGCATTTTTCTGCTAATATTGCACCGGACGTAAAAGCCAATTGTTCCTTTTGTATGTATCTCTCCCTCCCTCCTCTCTCTCTTCATATATATATATATATATATATATATATATATATATATATATATATATATATATATATACCCCGCGGCTGCATTTCCAATGGAGGCGGAAAAGCTGTAGGCCCGTGTACCCAGATTTGGGTGCACGTTAAAGAACCCCAGGTGGTCAAAACTTCCGAAGCCCTCCACTACGGCGTCTCTCATAATCATATGGTGGTTTTGGGACGTTAAACCCCACAAATCATCATCATAAACCCCGCTGGACAGTGAAGTTTCGCAAGCGCTTTGTAATGAGACAGCGAGCGTGGTGGGGCGTCCCACGTGAAATTATTTCGTACGCTCACTGAGAAGGAAATGGTTCCTCGCCTCGGCTATTTACACAGATACTGTATGCTACAAACGCACAGAGAGGGGAAAAGCAAACATGGCGCCAACCGCAGCGAGCAGCTGAGATATGCCTCGCCTCCTGGTCATACACTTTTATGCGGTCGGCCCACGCACGCTCCCGGACGCTCGCAATGTGGCCGCAGGGGGGCTTCGCTAATGAATTCCATTTTTTGACAGGCGACGCCGGCGGGGACGTTATTAATGACCGCACCCGCGCACGAGCCTCGGACGCGCGGACGACGTCCGGTCCCGAAGTCCGTCTCCCATTAGGACGCGTAATACACGTCACCGGGGATAAGACCGCTGCTGCTGCTGGGCGAGTGAGAGAGAGAATGCTTGGTCTGTAGGCCAGTCGGCGAAAACGATTCGTTTACTTTATTTTTTTCGAAGCGCAAGTTAACTTTGCTTTCGTCTCTCTCACTTCGTCTATGTTCACTTCGTTGGAGGTTCTCTCTCCCATGCTAACGAGAAAGACTATATACGCGAGAGAGGAAGCTTTCCCATGGACGCAATGAAGCTGCGGTCAGTGGCACGCGCAGTTCGTGGAAGGAGAAGCCGCGCAGTGCTGTCGAGAAGTCATGCCCGCGTGACGCTGAAAATCACATGGAAGCATTTTCAAAAAAAAATTTTAAGCTCTGCAGTAATAATGTGACGTAATTAGGATACTCGAAACCCTGCACTCGTCAGCTATATCTGGCTGCATCGAACCGCAATGCACGTTAATTACTGCCTGTTAAGTCTTTGACCACGTGACTTTTCGAGATATTGCGTCAATCTGTTACAAGTACAACATGATTGACCAAATTCTGGCGGTCCAGCAAGCCCGCGATGTGCACAGCAGGCCAGACTTTCCTTGTAGGTATGGAGTGGCCAAGTATGCAATCTGACGTGCTTTTCAGGACTTGATAACGTTGTTTCGCTCACTCACTCACTAACTCATCATGTGAGTGCGCAATACGCACCGGCAGGAAGTCATTTATTGCGTATATGCATCGAGATTTTTGACGAGTGCACCAAACCACTATAACTAGAACCTGCGGCTTAAGCCAAACATGTGTGTCCCACGCGGAGCTTTGCTGGCAAACCATTACAATGCAGTCTTATATACTGAGCCATGTGGCTTTAATTTAACCAATGTTTGCCTTCAATTAGCATCCCCATTTGTCCAGTTGTATATGAAAGGGTGACAGGCCAGAAAGGGGAAAAGTTAATGCCGTGTACCAAGCGATGGAAGAAGCCGTATATTCATGAATGCATGGAAACTTACTGTAGTTACCAATTATGAATTGGCTCACTTCCTTTCTAGGAGTACACTATACATGTCCAGAACAAGTTGTACTATATTAACTGACGGTGTCAAAATGTTCGGCCAATAGAGAGAATGGGGAGTCATAGCACACTTCTCTGCTTTAAATATTACACTTTTACCTGTGGTTCCATGTTGTATATAGTCAGGATCCCTGTCTAATTTCTCAACGCTGAAAGAGTGATCGTATGGCTCCCAAGCAACTGTCAATTAGATGTGGTAATCAGCGAGGTATACTATACAGTTACGCGCTGATAGTTCCATTCTATGGAGAGATGACTGCATGAAGTAGAAGGGTCTTTACAACAGATGCGTTCGTGAATGCACGGAAATGTTTTTAACGAAATTTTGTTTGTTAACTGCTGGAACGCGTGGAGAGCTTGGTTCGTAGTTTAACATCAATGTGCACACACAAAAAAAGCTTTTGCTGAATGTATATCACAGGCCTGGCAGGTGTTGCCGGTATTATTTACTCTTAATAAGGTAGAACGGCTGCGCTGAAGCAGAAAACGAAAGCAGGAAAAATGATTATAACAGTTTGTTTCACATTGCAGATGTGTGGTAGAAAAGTAAATGAGCACATTTAGGTGGCAATTTAGGAATCCTTCTTGTCTCTGTGTCGCCGTTTTGTTCTCGCGCTATAACTATCGTCATGCCATACCAACTAGCCCAAGCTGCCACCCTTCTAAGTTACAAGACTGGCGGAACACGAATAGCACGCTCTCTTTAGTCAGCGGTTCATAGCCGTGCCTGTCATGGAAAGTTCGCGTCGGTGGCAAAATGTGTGTGCTGCCGCCATCACAGTGTGCATGCGCTCTCATTTCAATAGACCGTCAAAACGCCGGCGAAACTAAACGTATAAGTTTCCACGCAATGGAGTCATTTTCCACGCCATGCATTCATTTTCCTCCCTCCCTTCTCTCCACGAGTACACGCTTTACTCTGACTCTCAGCCGCTGTCATTCACATACAGAGCAACACGTTGCCCCCTGCTCTTCAACAGGAGGTCGAGCAAGCGGTATCTGCTCTTCAACCCTCCACTGACTTCCTCCGCTGGGTTCCTGCAGGCATTCGGGTATTAGCGGCAATGAGCTGGCTCACCAGCTTGCCCGCAATATATCGCACCGGGCACCGTTCATTCCCTGGCCCACACCTTCGGAAGACAGTGACAACTCCGCGAATAACGAATGGGCAGATCTCCTTGCGTCACACTATCAAGAAGGTATATCTCCAGCTCCGGCTCGACAAGCGTCTCTACCCTCCCCCTCTTCCATCACTCACTGCGCTCGAGGCTCGAACTCTACGGCACATCCAAATGAATTGCCTGATAACCCCCTCTCGCCTTTTCCTTTATAAATATAGGTCTAACCCCTGCTGTCCTAATTGTCCCTCCCCATACGCTGACCTGTCACACTGCCTGTTTTACTGCCCAACTGCTCAGCAATCCAGTTATTACCCTCCCCCATCCCTTTCCATCACCACCTGGCTTGAGTGGATCGGCACCGAAGGGGAAGAAGAACCGCGTCGACTGGTCGCACAGGCGGTCGAAATGCTCTGCCGATAAATTGTGGCTGAATAAAAGTCCATTATTACTACTACTACTACTAAGCAGCCGCGTCTTTAGTGACGTTATAGCGAAAGCGATAACTTGACATAGGCTGAAATGAAAAGACGTGAACATGGCAATAGAAATTTTCAGTTTGTTTTGAAAACTCCTAGCGTGGAAGTTTCATATATTATCGGGTGCGAAAATGTGAAGTGCAGGAATAGTGGCGCCACCTGACGGCCCATAAATCAACCTGACCGCCAAAGTACTGTGCTTGCGTTAACCAGACATACTATCACGTTGCGATCGGCAATGTGAGAGTAATACAGCTTCACCGTGGACTTGCTCTTACGAGCAATTAAGCTGTCTTGGTTACCTGTATACTTGTAACGCGCTTAAGACCGGCACTTCCTCACAAGACCTTGATCGCTAGATCAATAGGCCATTTTATGGTTGCCTGCGAAACTTTACCATACGAATCAAATTTGTTCGTGTATCTTTAACACCACATTTTACAAAGTCGAGGACGTGCATCTTCTTACGCTCAAGGACAAATTATCCAGATAAACAAAAGTGTGTTGTCTGTCACTTCCACAATATAATGATAGCGGCTACAACATGGTCGTAAGTACATCGCCTCCTTCCTGTGTTCTTTTTTTTTGTTTCGACAAGACCTGTGGAAAATAAAGTAGTGGGACATGGGCTGAAAGAAAGCAAGATAGAGACAATCGAAGTAGAAAATCAGAGATTAGCCTTGGTGCGGTTATAGATGCTACAGATGCGAACACGGCTCTTTGATTATTGTACTGTATGGCACAGAATACCGGAAGTGGTCATTCCTGGACCGGAATGACTTCCGCAGAGTGTCTTCGGAAGGTTCGTGGAACTGTCAGGGCGACCGTCTCACAAAACAAAATGCTGATGACAGAACTACTGCTGAACCCCAGCCACGAGGCGCGCGAATTAAACAGGCAAGTCACCATTTTGGCGATTGAGGAAAGGCCATTCCAGAGTTTCGGCACCAATCAATGTAACAGAAGGGAAGCGGGGTCGTAGATGTAGAATGCCCCGTTACTACACAATGGGTGTAGCTCCAAATTTTATAACATTGCTCTCGTCTCTTGCGCCAACCTCCAAGCATGCATGCCTCACTTGCTTATCCTAAAGAACTTTAGATCAAGAAAAAAGTGTATGTGTACAACACCGCCGTGGTAACGGAAAGTGCCAAAAAATGTCGTGTAGAGCAGTGTTCAGCGCATATCCCGGTATACCGCAAACTATATCGCGTATATGGCGAACACTCCAAGGTTGCGTATGCGGCATATATACTCACAAAGCCGTGCTTGTCGGAGATGTTGTTGGTGAGCTTGAGTTTGTGGAAGGAGACCACCTTCTGCATCCACTGTTCACCCGTCGCTGGAGAGTCCGGGTGTATGTACATCCGCTTGGGCATCTCGGGGTCAGCCTTGCCGGCCACAACCCACCTCCGGTTCTGGAACTTGTACCGGCAGTCGTCCGCGGCCACGATGTCCATGAGCATGATGTACTTGGCCTTCTTGTCCAAGCCGGACACTCGGACCTTGTAGGCGGGGAACATCCTCCTAAAAAAAGCAAGAGTGGACGAGCTCAATGCGTGACACAGTCATTGGCGTAACAAACTGCAGACGCACACACAAGGGGCCGGATATGGTGGCTTGCGCGACCAGCAAAGACAGCTGTCATCGCTTTTAGACGGAGCCGGATTGTATTCACCGACAATTGCAGAACCACGCCTTCAGATATCCTTGCCATCAAATATCCCCGTTCTTTATGCAAATATATCGATACCAAGATTGTAGAGACAAACTGAATATGCAGAAGCAGAACAATCAGCGTATTCCCGTATAGTTTTCAACGAACTAATGCTGCGATTGCAGGGTACCGCATGTACGTTCATTCCTCCATAAAACCGTGAAGGGCTTACATTTTATATGTCAAATAAAACAAATAAACGAAGAAATACTTTTCACTGGCTACGTAACTTTCGCACTTTGTTGTACTTGCATCCCATTGATTAACTACTCCACTAATTGACTGACGGAGTTCAAGCATCGTAATGCCTCAGGAAATGCATAGAATGTAACTTAAACACTGTAACACTGTCTCGTTTTATTGATTGATTTATTGATCGATTGAGTGAGCGATTGATCAATGTACGGCTTGATCGAAGATTTATTTATTTATTTATTTATTTATTTATTTATTTATTTATTTAGCGATTGATCTATTCAGCCTTTCAAGCTATAATCTCGACCAGCGCATGAAACATACACGCCCCCTTTGTGCGAGAGCGCGGCTAGCAGAAGTGGCGGCTTATTAAGAGCAGTAAAGTACCCGTATTACATGCGAACCAAAAGCACTTTGAGCGTTTCTGTCTGTCTACCTAGCCGTCTTTCTCTAGGTTCTCTCGTGAACAGCCACTACCAAAATTGGTACAGGAGGGCACGATGGCATTATACGAACACGACTGTATGACCTTGACACGAAAAATGCCTAAATTCTGTCGCGCGTGTCGTGAAACACCGTTTTTTTTTTACATTCATGTGTTGCGCATACCCATATAACAAGACACGCGTCATGCGGAACTGCACAGTGGGTGTTTCACAGTTCATATCTACCCAGTAACCGCGAGAACAGAAATAGTTAAAATTGAAACGCGACAACGTCAAGAAAATCTGGCATTGCTAATGTTGACCAAACGAATGCGCTTAATGCAAATCATAATCCCAGGAGGAAGGTAGAACCCAGGTATTCTGCGTGGTAAGCACATATTCTGTGACCAAGTGACTCCACGTCTTGAAACTGCTCACGAAAAAGACTCCAGGCAGGCGTAACGCCAGTGCAGCGTCGATTGTGGTTGCAGCGTTGGCGAAGTAATTTTATAACAGGGGAATAAAACATACACTCGTATAATAGCAGGATCTTGTCGGGTAAACGTCTATCGGGCTTCCGATACTGTCTGCGCTCCTGCAACAGTGTATTGAACAGTATATATCAACGCCTGTGACTCAGCAAGCTACAGACAACAGCCAGACAAACATCTTTATTTTCGTACTAAAAGGTCACGAAGTGGGGAAATTGAGTAGGTCCCACCCCAGCTGTCGGCTAGTCCCATGTCGAAACAGCGAGGTCATGCCTCTCAGCACGTTCACGAACCCTCTGGACAGCCTGAAGCCGGACGTCTTGTCTGTGGTCTGCGATTGCCGTCGTCCAGTCTATTTCTCGGTTAAAGTCCTGTAACGCAGGGCCCTGCCAGATTATGTGACTCAGAGAACAGTATTCACCACAATCTGGGCAAAGCGGATTAACTTCCGGATGAAGCATGCTCAGAAAGCCCTTGGAGCGGTAAGACCCCGTCTGGAGCATGCGAAGCATGCTTGCCTGTGATCTATGGAGCTTATAATGAAGAGAGGGGAATGTCTGTTGCTCTCCTCTGTAACGAGATGTTATTTCGCGATAGGTAACGAGAGGATCGCTGTGGACGAGCTCTCCCGAACTCACGCGAGAGACCAGCCCGTCGCGGCATGTAAAACCTCGCGCACGGTCGTGGGCTATTTCGTTTGGGCTCAGGTGACCCGCAAGCTACGAAATTCGAGCGTTGTGCGACCCAGGAGGAGTACGCTGACGAATACTACGTAAAATATATTGGTATCGCATCGTATCGCGCACTTCGTTTCGATAAAACTGAGGTATGGGGCCTAACGTGACTGTATACGTTAAGCTAAACCCCAGATTAACCTTTAAGCACCAATGCACACGTGTTTCGTGAAGCCACGATCTGAACACAGCTTCTCCACAAAACAAAAAGAGAGAGAGAGAGAGAACACGGCCACACAGATTCGTAACGCTTGGCTCAAAGCCAAAATTAAAAAAAAAAAAATGCGCCATAGACAGCTTCTCGCTGACTGCTTCGCATCAAACCTACACCCCACCCCCTTCTGCGTGGCATCTACCAAACCTGCTTTTCCCACTTTTATTGCTGCTCTATTTCTCCCTCTCTCTATATATCAGTCCATATCTCTCCTTTTGAGGCTATTACCATAAGAGATCCCGATAAACAAAAACAAAAATGCGCAGTGCAGTGGCCGCGAGAACGCAAAAGTATACAAACCACTCACCGCCACGGCTGTGGTGTGACTAGAACACCATACGCCTCACTCCTTGAAACGCGTTACATTATCCGCATCACAGTGGTCCACTGTACTCGATTCAAAGTTTTTTGTTTTCCTCTCACGAGTGTTTCAAGAAACATGAGATTACAACACTTCACGAACGAGCCGCAGGCTGTCAGCCCACTGCGAACCAGTTCTTACTGTGCTCCGCAAGCACAACTAAACATCTTTAGAAATCGCGGCACATCTTCACATGATAAAGAAAGAAAGAAAGAAAGAAAGAAAGAAAGAAAGAAAGAAAAAAAGAAAGAAAGAAAGAAAGAAAGAAAGGAAGAAATATAGAAAGAAAGAAAGAAATAAAGAAAGAAGGTGGATCGTCCAGGAGGAGGATCAGGAGCGGATATATCCGAGAGGCACGCAGTTCCAGTGAGCAAGAAGTAAATCGTTCTCGCGCGCGCTCAGCGATCGCAGCTTGATCGCCCACAGATTCGCGTTTCTCTCCGCTTCCACGTCCGCTGCTCCGCAACGCGCACGCGCGTATAATCCCGAGGCCCGGCTTATCCGAGCGTGCGCGCCTCCTTAAACGAGGCGCATATCTGTATGTACACGCGTGGTTGGCAGCCGAGCGATGGCTCTGTGGCACAGCCTCGCTCCATCACGGCGCTCCTCCTTCTCTTCTTCTTATTCTTTCACTGCTCTTGCGATTCTCTTTCAGTATACTTCCAGCGAAAGATATAGAAGAAGAAGAAGGACAAGCTATAGAAAGGCTGGACAAGTAACGAACGCTCGCGAGGCTAGCAATCTCCTCCATTTCTTGGGTTTTACGTCCACGGGCTCTTTATATTTGACCTTCGAAGAACGAGGAGACCGGGTTTCTCGTCCTGCGTGCGTGCGTGCGTGTGTGTGTGTGTGTGTGTGTGTGTGTGTGTGTGTGTGTGTGTGTGTGTGTGTGTGTGTGTGTGTGTGTGTGTGTGTGTGTGTGTGTCCGCGGCATGCACCTTCCGTGGCGTACGCCTTTTGGCGAGAAGGCGCAGGAAAAGAACAAAAAAAAAAGGAAACTACTAAGATCGACGGAAGCGGGGCAAAGTACAACTAGGGGCGGATCCTTTATGAGACGGCTCTCCGAATAATAACTACGAAAAAAAAGGCAGAAACCACGGCGCGGCGTGCTTTCAGGCCACATTAGCTCAAGTCGAGCGCAAGCGACACACAAGCGACGCCGGCGGCTCGACCGAGCGAGCGGCGTTCGCTTCTGCGTCGCGGGGGACCTCCTGCGGTGGCGCGCGCCGAACAGCGCCGACGAGCGCGCTTTTGTGGCGGCCAATGGAAACTCTCCGAGGAGGACGGCGCGGTTCGGTGGCGCCAGCCGGCGGCGGAGCGGAAGTGTGCGCGTGCGCACAATCGAACGGCGCCAGCTGGCGCTCGAATCGCGTTGCACATTTGCAAACCTCCATCGCGAAGCTGTTTTCAGGAGCAGTAACGTGAGACAGGCCTATAATCTTGAAACGATGTAATGTAAGAAAGTGAAGCCAATGCAGTTCTTTGTGGGCTTCAGAGTATCAGCGCCGCTTCTGATTGGACAGGAATTGCTTAGTGTTGTGAGTGAAGTGCGCGAGTCAAGTGACTTTCAAATTTGGCGCGTAAGATGAACTACTGACAATGTGTGCAAGATGGCGTATTGCGCCAGTGCGGCGAACACTGGCGATTGGAAAAAGAAGAAAATTCAAGGGAATGGGAGAAAAATCCAGAGCCAGGGCATCGAAGAAAGAGGAAGAGGAGATTCGGGCTCGTGCTTGGAAGAAGAAGGCTAGGGTGCGGCGTGCGACCTCGTCGGGTGCGAGTACCTCCTGGGCGTCAGGGCATCCACCTAGCGGGCGACTGTTTCCACGGGGTCCTGGTGACCATTCAACCGCAGCGGCTATTGGCGAATCCTTGGCAAGACCTTGGTCTGATGTTCGAGCGGAAGACAGCGCAGCAGATGACGTCTACCGGGAGCGGGAGCAAGCCGTCGGGCTACGGGCCCGAGCTTATGCACTCTCACCACGGCAGCTTCCCCAATGGACTATTGAAGGGCGTGAACCGCTGGTGAGCCGTATCCGTCTTCTCTCGCGTCCGGACTCAAACACGAGGACTTTAACGAAAAGGACTGTTTAGACTCTTAGAGGTTTCCGCTCGCTAACGAAACTGACAGTGCTAGTTAGTTAACATTTTTCTGATCTTAGTATTTTCCTTTTTGTGGTTTTTTTTGTGTGTTTGTGAAAGTATGATTTCTTTTTTGCAAATCAAACGCTCACTTCCTTTTCTCGTGAGAGATTAACGTTTCACAGCTAGCTCGACTGGCTTTATTTACTGAACCTGTTACAAATTGGCGTCCGCTACGACAGGACGTGAGTGTTTGCCACTAAAAAGTAGATTTGAGTAAGGCTAACTAAAAAAGTAAAATGGGCTCG